AAGAAAATATTATATATATAAACTTGGTATTTTATATTTTAGACTTGATTGAGTATTTAGTGGCAACTAAAAGCCCAGTGCTTTCTTGAGGCAATCTCTCTCTACCCAGACAACGGTGTTCCAAATATTTTATTTGAAGGAAGTTATGAAGGCCTCAATAATGATCAAATAATAGAATGGTCTTCTCTCCCTAATATGAGACACTATTGATGGTTGAGAGGCTGTATCAATCATCTTTGAAGAAAACAATGATGTGAGTATGTAGCAAATACAATTTGTCACATCATAGATTTTTTCAACATATGATGATCACTCCTCATAGAAATTGTCCCTTAAAGAGAAGGTAATGTCACAAACATACATATATAAGCCAATAATTACCTGTATAAATAGGTAGAAGTAAGTAGAAGTAGGTAAAAATAAGTTAATTCTATAATATCTTCTATACTAACTTCCTAGAAGCTTTATAGACATTACTTTGACTTTATAGGTATCTATAATTAAATTTTTGGATTAATAAAGTGGTCAATAAGTTGGCCATGTGTCACACATGTTGTTAGCTTAAAGACCAAGCTCACTATATGGCCCTCACGTAGAAAAACTTATCTTATAAGTCAAGGCATGTATCCCACAAAGTCAACACATATTGGAGGTCTTATAGAACATCGCCACATAGCCCCTAGTTAGATAATATATGTAGAAACAAGAGTGAAGCCCTCTTCATTCTTGTCAACTTCTTTCTTACTTCTAGTCTAATTTTAAGAGTCTCAAGTTTTCTTGTCTTTTGACAATAAGCCATTCTAGTTTTTTTTTTAATATATATGCTTTCTTATTTCTATTTGTTACTCTTTCTTTGATATAGATTTTGTTGATTTATGTATCATCTTTTAGTTCATGTCCTTGACATACTATTCTTCAAATGAATCTATAATTATAAGAAGTTCTCTATTGTGGATTTCATAACTAAACTTTGCTGTTGAAAATTTTGTGGAATAGAAAACTATCAAATAGAGCTTATTATCTACTTTTATTTGTGATAAAATGGTATCTATAGCAAAATCTAATGTATTTGTTTCCATAAAGAATACCTTCAAAAACTTGACGTAATATAAAATTAGTACAAAATTAAATATTATTCTCTAAGCTTCAAAAAACGCTTCAACTTCATTGCTCTATTCAAATTTTTCTTTAGATGTCAGATATATAAGAAGAGCTACAACTTAAAAGAAGTTCTTAATGAAGATCATATAATAATTAAAAAATCTCAAAAAACATTACTTATTTGTGATTTTTTTTGGAATCTTTCAATCTATGATAGTTTAGACCTTTTTAAGATCTATCATAAGGCTGTTGTTTGAAATGATGTGTCCTAAAAAGTCAACTTGAGTAGTGTGAAATATACACTCTTTTTTATCTTGGAATATAATCTTGCATCTCTTAGTTTTTATAACACACAATGAACATGAATATCATACTTTTTTGTATTCTTTGAGTAGATTAAGATGTTATCTAAATAATAAATAATAAAATCATCAAAAAATTCATGAGAGACATCATTCATTAGATGTTGAAAAGCAACTAGTATATTTATAAGTCCAAAAGGTATGACATTATATTTGAAATATTCATATCTAGTTCAAAATATAATTTTTCATTCATCTCTTTTTTTAATGCATATCAATTTATATAATTTTCATAGATCTATTTTTATATAGATCTTTGTTTAATTCAATTGATCAAGAAGTCTTGAAATTAAAGGTAGAGGATATTTATTCTTAATAATGATCTTATTGAGTTCTTAATAGTCTACACACATTTACAAAGATCCATCTTTTTTTCTTCACAAATAAGATACATGCCTCAACTAGAGATTTAAAATGGTATATGAAGTTCTTAGCCAAATTCTCATCAATTTAATCTTTGGGTGCAACCAACTCGTTCTGTTATAGGCTATACATTAGTCCAAATGGTGATTGAGCTCTTTCTTGAAGATTAATGGTACAATCATAGGGACGATGCTTTCAAAGTATATTTGCATTTTTTTTTTTCAAAAACTTCTTAATAATCTTGGTATTGGCTTAAAATGATACTTGAAATCTTTTTTCATTAACAATAAGTATGGTGTATATAACAAAAGTTGATCGTTTTCTTATTGCATGCATAAAAGCTCTTGCACCTCCAATAAGAGTTTGGACATATTGATCTTGTGGATTTTTACTTGTCTAGCAAAATCTTTGATTAAATTATAGAAAAAATTGAGATTACAAGAAATCTAGTCTATTTGAAGATTATATTTTTTAACCACAATAATCCTTAAATAATTAGATTAGAATTAGATCTAATTTTATTAAATACTATTAAATTATTATAACCACTAAGACCTTTATTAAGTATTACGTAAGATTTCAACTACATGGTTCCTATTATAACTAAAAAAATTCATTTTCAACACCTTGTCCTTTTTAGCAACCATGTGCTTCATTTTGTGATTGTGTTGTTTTTTTGGTTAATATTAAATAGTATATTTGGATTCTCAATAATATAGGTATAAATCTTTTTAAAAATAATCAATCTTTTCTTGTTTATTAAGAGATTTAAAATATATCATGTGAATTTGTATAAGCTTTGGTTTAAATAAGTAAGCTTTTAAAAACTTAGAAGATATTACTATGGCTTTATTTATAATTTTTCAACCAAATCTCTATTTTTGGCATCTTATAAAGAATCAATTGTTACATGTAATGGCTTGAGCAATAAATTACTTTAATGAATTTACTCTCTATATTATCAAGGTCCTTAAAATAATATTTCTAAAGACTTTGATAATGGATTGATAAGGACTTTTTCATTCTAATCTATGTTACAAGTAAGATTTTTAAAATTTAGTAGAGTATACAATAGTTGGATGTGATCTTTGTTGTAGAAATATGAACTTGGTCTTTGCTATTCTTATTTAATCACTCTTTTTAAATATAGCCACAAACACTTTCAAGAAAAAATTCAAATCATAGAATAATTATGATTTTTTTTCTATTAAAGGTGTAAATCAAAAGAAAGTACTTCCAAGTAGAATTATACTTATGAATCCAACTTAAGTAAATCCATAGAAATATTAGAAAGGATGAAATCCTAAATAGAGCTTAACTTGTGGCAAAAATCTTTGAAATATTATTCTAATACCACCAAACTTTTCAAACATACTAATCCTTGCATCCTTCATGCTTATTAAAGTGAGACTTCCTGAATTTGATTGTAAGGTTGATCTACTTGTTTTTCTCAAGTATACAACTTCTTAATGAATATTTTAGATTTCTTCTATAAGTGTACAAATAGTGTTTCTAGAATTGGCATTACTAATGTATGAAATTTCTATCCTAAAAATGTTAACAAGCTCGTGAAGATCTACAATAGTTGAAAATTTATTCTCACTTCTGCGAAAAGAGGCATCCATAATTTTTCCTTCTATAGATAATTCAAACAAATTCAGAAGTTAAATTAGAGGAGGATAATCTGCAACCTCTAATGTCAAATATAAATTTCTACAAATGAGGGTGATTTACTTTTTTTAAGAAAAAATTAGTATTAAAAAATTAAACTATTTGTTTAAAAATAAGTCATTTGTAACCTTTAAAATATAATAATAGAAGTGATATAATCCACTCACTTCTAAAATAAGATAAGAATAATGAATTAGCATTCTTATCAAACTATGAAGGACATAAATCTTAAAAATTTTAAATGTCAAGATACTCTTGTGTCACTCAAAAAGACTAAATAATTATTCAAAGATAATATAATATTAAACTAGAATGGCTATTTCCAATGATAAGAAGATTAAAAATTCTTGAAACAAGAATAAGGACTAGAAAGGCATTGATAAGAGTGAAAAAGACTTCACTCTTGCCTTTACATATACTATCTAATTAGAAGCTATGTGACAATGTTCTATAGAACCTCCAACACGTGTTGACTTTGCAAGACATATGTCTTAACTTGTAAGGCAAGTTTTCTATATGTGCACCACATAGTTAGCTTGTTCCACAAGCTATTAACACATGTAGCACGTGATTAACTTTTTGGCCAAGTTTCTAACCTATCAATCAACTACAAACATGTGTAAAGTTAAAGTAATATCTATAAAGCTTCTAAGAAGTTTTTCTAAAAAAATATTATGAAATTAATCTATATTTACTTACTTCTACCAATCATATAGGTATTTATTAAAATAAATATGTATGTCCGTGCTATTTAGTAAAAATAATATTATTTATTTTAAAATTTTTATATTTTTATATTATAATTTAATTTTTAATATAAATAATAACTATCATACTTCTATTGCAAATAATATATACTTGTAGAGATTCACATTACTTCCAATAGAATATTTATATTTATATGTATATAATTTTATATTATTATTTAGTTTACAATTATGTCCAAAGTATAGAATATAAGTTCAATAAATTTTTAAAATTGCAATTAGCTTTTGAATATGTATGTGTGTATATATATATATATATATATACTTCATTCTATAATAAATTCTATCTTCAAATTCAAATGATACAAAAATTTAATTTATTATTTTTCCAAAACTATTATTCTCACAACATGTTTCATCCCCACGCAATTTTGTCCATTAGGTCGTGAGCTTTCGCTTCGATCAAATTCGCAGCGTCGTTGGCCTCTCGAATTCGGAAGCAACAGGGGAGCGTTTCATCGACACTGCCACCCACAATCAATCGAACCCGCGGTGCCCAACACCGGGCAGATCCCTTCATGCAAACCCACTTTGCATGCAGATTGAGAAGGGGATTGAAGGCGAAATTGGCACTCACGCCGATGAGGCGAATTGGGATTTTCATGGGGATTAATCAAATGTAACATCAAATTAAGACCAAATGTGCGGTCTCGAAGAATCCGCGACATTCAGGATGAGGTTCTGGCCGGGCAAGCGTCCGCTTCCCAATAAGCCACGACACAATGTGGCTGTGGACATCCACTTGGCTACATTCATTGTCGCACAGCAGCAGCAGCATTCAGATAGTTCCACTGACCCGCATTTCACTCCCTCTTTCAAGTGCTCTGGACGTTCCGAAGCTGCGAGCATCGTGTAATGCTTTAATTTGGGGCTGCGTGAGAGGGTTTGAGGAGATTGGTTGGTAGTTTTTGAGAGGTAGGGGTTTGAGATCGACAGCGACGATGCAGGCGGTGAGGTTGTCTGGGACGATCTGCGCGTCGTTGCTGGCGCAGAGCGAAGCTCAATTGGGAGCCGCTGGAACATTGCACACGAAAGCGGTGTTGCTGGGCGCGAGGCCGTCGAGGAGTTTGTCTGTGAGGAGAGGGTCGTCGTTCTCCGGGACGAGAATGGCGTCGGAGAAGGGCGGCTGGATGGAGAAGTTGGGGTTTGGTGCGCGGGCTTCGGCAGCGCAGGCAACTGGCGCGGCGGGGAGCTCGACTGGTGCCCGGAGCCCCGACGACGATGTTCCTGCTCCAGGCCACGAGTTTGCCACTTTCGGCGCGGGGTGCTTTTGGGGTGTTGAGCTTGCGTTCCAGCGCGTCCATGGTGTGTCACACACCGAGGTGGGATACACACAGGGGCACATAGATAACCCTGACTACTATGCCGTCTGCTCCGGGGACACAGGTACTGAGAATTTCTGCGACTGGATTGAATTTGCAAATTTCGTTAGCGCAATTCAGAGATCAGTGTCAAATATGTGCTTCCATAACCATTTAATCCCTTCTTAACTCTCCGAGTTCCGCTTTTGCAATTCGCTAGGGTTCAAAGCCCCATGTTCCATCTACTGAGATTAATCCTGCTGTTAGGTTCTGAGGTTTAGTAGTGCGAAGTGGAAGAGATTGTTGGCATGGACAATCAACGCTTGGAATTACTGTCACCAATTTGAGGACTAGGCTCCTTAAAGATTGTAAGCTACACCGTTTCTGTACAGGTTCGGCATTTGATGTTTTCAGTGAAAATGTGCCGGAACAGGTCACTCTGAGGTTGTGAGGGTACAATATGATCCCAAAGAATGCAGCTACAATACTTTGCTGGATGTTTTCTGGAAGCGCCACGATCCAACCACGCTCAACCGTCAGGTATGACATTTCTGCTGAATCACTCAATCTGATCAAATATGCAACATTCCTATCCGTTTTCGAGATGCTATACCAGTTGTAGTTTTCTGTGATATCACATAATACTCGGTATGCGTCACTTACTCGACTCAAGTGCTTGATCAAACCAGGGTAACGACAGGGGAACCCAGTACAGATCTGGCATCTACTTTTACTCTCCGGAGCAAGAGAAAGCCGCATTGGAATCGAAGGAGCAGGTGCAGAAGACATTGAGCAATCCAATCGTTACCGAGATTCTTCCAGCCAAGAAATTCTACCGCGCGGAGGAGTACCACCAGCAGTATCTGGCCAAGGGCGGTCGGGGTGGAAATGCGCAGTCTCCTGCCAAGGGATGCACCGACCCCATCCGCTGCTACGGCTGAGCTTGCCAATTTTGTCTTCGCATTGCGACGCACCGCACACGTCTCATCACACATCTCATCACTATATTTGTCACGAAGCTTGTTTTTGACGGAGGCGATCAATACTTTGTAGGGAAAGGAGATGGCTCGTGAATCTGTGCAGGCCCTCTCGGATGCTGGAATTTGGTTTTGAATAGTCTAAGGTCTTATCGTTCTTGGCCTTGTGGTGCACAGGATGGAGTTTTTACCGAAGTCCGAATCTGCAGCAGTGTATTATCAACTTGTAAAGCGATTCTTTGTGACGTGCAGGGTCTTCTCCTGTTGTGTATGACTCTTTGCGGACGACAACAATGTTTTGGTTCAAAGGTGTCTGTTGGCCACGTGCTGTCTGTAATTGAATGGAAAGGGAAATCGTATGCTGCAAATTGAACGAATAGTCTATTCAGTACAATATTTGCTGCTATTGGGGAAAGAAGTCAACAGCTGAACTGATTATTGCATTATTCAGATTGGTGCTTGTGAGGATCGTCTATATTTAGATGACATTTTCACGTCATCAGCACAATATGATATATTTCTACTGCATAACTTAAATACAATGTAATACATTGCACAGATACTCTTACACGCCATCAAACGACGGCGCATTGTAAATTTGACACAAATGAAGTTACAGCCCCAGCAATACAATAATCAACAAACATGCCAGGTTGAAAAGTAGCGCGAGTGTATAGCCAAATTCTTTAACATGTGCAAAAGCAACCACCCAACAAGTCCCACAGTACCTGTGATTTATATGCTGCAAACTACCTGATAAAACGAGTGGGTACCTTCACTGGCTATCAGAAAGCTGGATCCTTAGAATTTCCGAATGCTAACACCTAAATCTCATCAACACCGTGTCAAACTTCCTTGCGCCAGGATCTCTCCGGCACACCGGTCTAGGACGGGACTAAGGGTGCATTCTATTAAGGCTTGCATTACACAGCAACTACAGCCTGGTAAGTTATGTACGGGCCCTTTTATTGCTGCAAGATGGACACTTGTATTGCTTAATATGTTCCGCTCTAGCTGGAGTGATTTTTACACACTTGCCATGGAACCACTTCTCACAGATGTCGCAACCGATCCAGAACTCGTCAGCGGTATAAGGTCCACCGCAACTTCCACAAAAGGTGTCACCATGTTCCTCGTCATCCTCGTCATCAAGAGGTTCCTCCTCGTCCTTGGGAGGTGGTGGAGCAGGTTTTGCCGGCTTTGCTTGAGTCACCTGCTGCTGAAAAACAGAACACCAGGCACAGTTAACTCCTGACTGCATATATTCAAAAACACATGCGAGAGAAGGCAACGTGGCATTCAAACGTTACTTCATTTATTTCACCTCAAATTCAAGAACATCTCAAATATCTTAAATAGTGGCTAAGTTCCTTGCCACGTGGTCAACAAGCCAACACTCACTCTGAATAAGTGACCCTTCCTACGGAATAAAGTTAGACTCCTAACTACATCTTCAGAAAACGGTTCTAGTCATTATGAGATAGATAGACAGTAGTTCCACAGTACTCACCACTTTGGTAGCAGATTTCGCTTTGGTGCCAGAGCTATTGACAGCGGGCTTTTCCTTCACAGGCTTTTTCCCCGTGACTACGTCAAATACAGTTGGGAGCTCATTTATCATGGTAAAAAGACGCTTTCTGTAAATATCACCAAAACATTTTTTCTCAGAGATAAGACGAGGATGTCCCTCTTCAAGGATAGGCAAGTCAGTGCGCTTTAATGCCCTGAACAAATTACAACACAGCTCAAATATGAACTTACACAACAGAAACGTAATGACCCTCCTCATGTAGTAATTTCAATTGGAAATAATACATGAATGGGTGTGGCATAACTCGTCAAAAATACAAAAAAGAAGCAGCATTATATCAAGTTCAGATAGCAGACCTCTCGTTCTTATCAAACCGAGCTCCGTAATAGAAAGCAACAGCAAGTAGCCAGGCATCACTGTGCACAGCAACTAAAGAAAGCCAGTCTTTACGCTGCATGCCATCTCTGGCGAAGTTGATACCAAGTGCAGGTTCAGGAAGTTCTGGTGGAACCTCTTCCGCCGGTAAATTCACTTCCCAAGCTTCATCCGGGAAACCATACAAACACAAGTTCTCCTTCTCTGCAATTAAGAAGCAGCCAATTAAGGAGTCACTTCGCGAACCACTGCATATTATGACCAATGCGACGACACCGTCTCATGGATTCCTCCTTTTGAGAATAATCATTTTTTTAATTTGACCTTCGGTACGCTGTAGAGAAGTAGACTGTTACAACCTTGCAGCCGCTACAGAGTCACATAGACAGTTCTTACAGACATTTGCAATAAGGTCAGTTCGCTAATACTTCATGCACAACAGCGGGGAACATGAATTCGTGAAAAGAAAGCGCTAAGCTATTGACAAAACACCATCCTCGACGGATCACCACGAATGATTTGCTTCATTGGTGAAGGACAATATGGCATAACTATCAAAGTTGAAAACACCGACGTCGTTCATATCAAGTCAATGCAATTCCACAAGGCGACTTTGGACTTGTACCAAACCTAAAAGTTAAAACCAGCCTCCAGACAAACAACTTTGAGGGGAGATTTCTCACCTGGATCACACTGCCGATAAAATTCTTCAACATCTGCAAAATCGACATACAAACAGACCAAAATGAGGAGAGCGTGAAACATGCATTGAGCGAACAATACTCCTTGTCCGAAAGTGCAAGATAGGTACAAAAACAACGGCCCGGGTGATTTTAAAAATGCTATGGAAAACAGGGAGCACATCACATGCAATCCACCGTGCGCAGCCAGAACCATGAATGGTAATAGGGGCGAGCCAGAGACAATGTTCTTCTAGCAAATCATGCATTTCACACAGGTCAAAGACAGACAGGGGCGGGCCACCCCTAGGCACCCTGGAACGATTGATAATACGAGCCAGAGTAACGCTATACTCTTGTCACGCAATGTGCACAAAAATTCGTGTGCTCCGTCAGTAACTGCAGCGGTTTTACGTATCAAACAGACATCTTCCAATAAAAATAAAATAAAATCACCATTCATCAACTAAATATTCCAATCACCTACCGGTCGTGAGAGCTTTGAGCATTCCCGATCGCCGCCCCTTAAAGTCCTTAAAAACCTCATCGACTGTCCGCGGATTGGTCGACATCGACGCTCCCTCCATATTTGAACGAACCAAGGACGCACTCTCGCGTGCAAAATTAAAAATGAAATTTAAAAAATAAAACAAGCAAACTATCTATCTAACTCGCGCAATCACTCGACACCACTCTTTCTTTTCCCCTTCTAGAAACGAGGGAGAAACACGCTACGCGATGAGGAGGAGCGGCACGCGTAACATTTCCCTTCCTGCCAGGACTCGCAATAGCCAGGGCTTCGCATTTTGAAACTGGCGCACCTCCGGGGTCCAAACCCTACCTCCACATTCCAGGAGCCTAAAACCCTCCTCTCCCTCCCTCCCTGGCACTGTTTACGGCGCTACCAAGGGCGCCGACGCTCACTATCCCCAAGTAAGAGCACTGCAGCTCTCTCTCTCCCTTCCTCCCTTTGTCCTAAGCAGTCTCTCAGAGGTAAAGACAGCTGCAAATGGGGCTCCCAAGCGCACCGGCTTTGAAGTTTTCTTCCTGCGCGAGCTCGTCGAGCTCGAGCTCCAATGACGACGACGACGACGGCATCAACAGCAACAACAAATCTCACTTGCTACATCACAGCGAACCCCTCAGCTCCCTAAGAACGGAATAAAGAAGCAACGACAACGAATGAATGAATCCATGGATGGATTGATGGAAGAGTTTCATGGATGAATTAGTATTCATCTACGAATCATTCGTTGGACTTCGCCCCTGCTCGTCGGGTGTGGGAACGAAGCGCATCCAACTCTGTTCGTTGAAGAGAATGATGTTTATTTAAATGTGGATCGGAATATATATAGGGGGAGAGAGAGAGAGAGAGAGAGAAGTTGATATCTTATTTGGGATTATTTGGATAGATAAATTCATTATTAGGGAGGTTTGTGAGACATGTGGCACATCAAGTATTAGAACTGAATGAATCAATATATTTAAAAAATTAAACTATACATTTATTTATTTATTTATTTATCATATATATATAATTTGGATTTACTTAGTTTTAAAATATGCCAATAAAAGTTACCCTGAGTAATTTTACACGATAAACATGCTGTCATATATGGGTGCTTGTAGAAATTTGTTTATAATGTGAAGAAATAAAGTTGATTTTTTTTTCAATCATTAACTAAATAATATTTAAAATGTATATATCAAAATATTAAGTATTTTCATTTTTTTTAAGTAAATAACTTGATTAACTATCTTATGAAAATTTTATTGTGACAAGAAAAAGTTGTTATTATAAAGGAAATGATTCAATATTCTAAAGAATGATTAACATTGTAAACATGAATAAAAGAATATATATATATATATATATATATGTGTGTGTGTGTGTGTGTGTGTCATTATAAAAATTGTGAATAGGTTTGCAATTTACTTGACACACACATGATGTAAAAAAAGTGTTATAAAAATAATTAAAAATAGAAAAATAGAAAAGTACCAAAATATTTTGACTTAGATTTCATTCACAACTTTTTAAAACGGGTTACTTTAATAATTAAAATTTATTTTAGAAAAAAAATGTTTTTTTTTCTCTCTATTTTGAAACATATGCAATATTTCAAGTTAAAAACCAAGCTCTAATTTTTGTAAAATTATATTATGATTTTAGTTATTATTATTTTATTTTGCATATATATAAATGAGAAAAATACAATAAAATTAATGTACCCAATTGTTGTTAGTTTTTTAATAAAATTGAACAATATCTAGCTATAAAAAGATATGTAGTAGAAAAAAGAATATAATAGATCAATCAAATAAAAATGTATCATGAAATCAATGTAAAACATTTATTGCTTGGTTTTGGTAATAATACATACCACAAAACATTTTTTTATTCCATCCAAGATTTGAATTTTTTTATTACAGAAGACTATAACTATATTTTTTTTTGTATGCACCTTAACAACTTAATTATGGTGTTTCTATTTTGCAATAGACACATAATAAATGGTATATTGACTAGAATTATGTTAAAATGCATTACTTTTAAAGAAAAAATGAAATGCCAAACAAGTTTAAATAATGTTTAAAACAAATTCAAACTAGAAATGATTTACATGTAAAATTAAGTTTAAGGATAGATTTTTCCTTCAAAAAGAAACTCCAAACAAGAAAAAAGTTTTGTGTTGTGATTTATTATTACTATTATATATATATTTTTAAATAAATTCTCAGCATGTCAATAAAAATGCATTTCAGTGATTGTTTTAATCATATTAAAATAAAAACATTCTTATGTAAGTTTTAAATTACAATTGAAATATTTTGAATATTTGAAATTAAATTCATTATCTTAAATATTAGTTTGAAATTGAAAGTGATTCATTTTTTTTTAATGCTTCACATTAAGTTTTTGAAGAAACGAATTTTTGTTTTAATGTATTGTAAGAAAATAAAACAAGATAGTACAAATTTCTAGTCATTCTTTTTTATGCTTTCTAATTTTGAAATTTAATATTCATAATTTCTATATTGCAATAATAAGTTTCAATAATTAAAAAAAATTTAAAACTAAAATTAGAAATAAACAAAGGCTCTATTTATGCACGATTTACTATAAAACATATGCATAATCAATAAACTTTTATCTGTCACAATACAAACATTTTAATCATAATTCAAATATATATTTTAGAAAAAGATTCCACCAATTTCATAAAATATAGTTGGTGGAGTGATTATATTATACACCTTTATAATTTTGTTATCCAAAGATAAAATTACAATTACTAATTTTGATATAAGAAGTGTACAACAATTATTTTTTTGCAATTTTTAATGTATTGTCCTATAATTCTACCATACAAGTCAATTTTGACTATTTTGAGTTAATATCTTAATTTTTTTTTAGTATGGAAATTTCTATATACATATATGTAACACATTTAATTTTTAATTTTTTGAAGTTTTAAAGAAAAAATAATGAATTATAAATAAATAAAGTCACAGAATTGACTAATTATTATTTTTTAATATTTTAGCTTGAACAATATTACTTTAATCTATACATAATGACTTATTAGAAAATAAAATAACAAAGAATACATAATTTCTTTTAAAAACTAAATAACATAAGAATCTTGTATACAGCTATATAACAAACGTTTAACTTTCATTATGATTGCAACCATCACAAAATTTCTTATTACTTTCTTTCAGAATGTTATTGTCCTTGTGAACATTCTCATAAAAGTTTAAAAAGAACCAATACAAAAAACTCATGTACAGCTTTTGTAAGAATCTTGTTTTTGGAACTTAAGTGAGAATTCAAATAAATATTTTTTGGATTAAATTCTTTTTTGTGAACCCTGATTGCAAGATTTACATATAAATAAATAAAAAATGATAAAAAGTCATTAAAAATTATTAACTCATCTTTAGTCTAGCAATTATTTATTCATTTTCAATAAGCCTTAAAGATTAAAACGCCTTTGTACTTGGTACAACCATTTAAATATCTATAATTAACCTAACCATGTTTTTGCTCTTTTGCATTGTTTTTGTAAAACCATTTTTTTATTAATTAATTGATTTAATTTTGTAATGATAAATTAAACTTAAATTATGAGTATAAATTTTAAATTTCTATTACATTTTATAATATAAAAATACCTAAAAAATTAAAAAAATCACACATATATTAAGTAGGTCTTTATACACAATAGCCTATTTTGAAAGACTGTAATTGAAAAAAAATTTGAAGAAAAAATCTCTTTTAGAAGTTGATCTTTGGAGATAGTATAAAATAAAAAGATGACATAAAATGGATAATCTATTTATTCATTTATTGAATATTATAGATGTAAATATGCAAACTCATATGATAATTCTTATAATGACAACAAATTTTTTCATTTATATTTATTTAAAAGAATATTTTAAGAAATTAATGCCACAACTTCTCAAATGTTTATGAAAATCACCTCTTGAAGTGGATCTATGGAAAGTTTGAAGTGACAACATCGTTTTTATCACATAACAAAGAGGTCATTTCACCTCATTATTATTATTATTATTATTATTATTGTTATTTTCTTTCTAGTGGCCTTAAGGCTAACTTTCTTAAGTATAAAGCCAACTAAATAAGGCTTCATAATCTCAATAAATAAATTAAAGCACAATATCTCATCTCCTCCCTTACCCAAACTAAAAATCACAATAAATGTTTAATACAAAATTAAACATTTATATAGATACATACCCACCTCGCCAAATGATGTGAGCGCATGTTCCAACTCTCCGACATGAGAGTGCAGAGCGGGTCGCGCGGGTGTGGTGCCTCCAGCCTTCATCGGACCCACGGGCGGTGTAGCGACGGCCCTGAGACGCGTGTGGACGCTGGTAGACGCCGTAAGACGCTGGTAGACGCAAGAGGAGGCACCACCTCGGCGCCGCCGCTTTTCCATAAGGGGAGGACTGTGGGTCCGCGCCTCCCCATCGCATCGCATCGCGTCGCCTACAAAATAGCAGCTCCCGATCCGTGAGTCGCAACAGCGCGTGGCATTCAGTCCGTGTCACCCAGTCAGTCGCGGGAGGAGGAGGAGGATCCAGTTCAGATATGCCGGTCCGCATGATGCTCTCACCCAGCTGTGCCTCCCTGGCTGCTGCAGGAAAACTGCTTGCAGTGGTTCATCAGCCAGGTGACTTCCGTGCGGGTTCTACTTGTTGCGTGAGGAGGTGGGTTGTTTGCAGCGCTTAGCGCTGTTTCTGCTGTGTATGGTGAGAGCAGGAGTTGGGACTGGTGATGGCGGTTTGTTTTATGGTTCGTGACGGTGTGGGTTTTAGTCCAAGACAATGTGATGGCGGCGGTTTGGGAAGGTGAAGGTGGTGGATGATGGAGTGGGGGGTTTAGTTTGGGAATTGGTAGGTCTGGTTAGTCGGGACAGTCTACAGGTGGAAATGGGGCATCTTGAAGGAGACTCCAGTTGCAAGTTGAGAGATCAGAGGGTGTGCGAGATGAGCTGCGATGACAAAGCTTGGAGCTGAGGATTGGCTGTGGTGACAAAGCTTGGATTTCGAGTCAGCTTTGCTGTTTGTGAAGTTTGCTGGCCTGGAGCGTGGGTGAAATGCCTGGAGTCTTTGGAGGTTCGTGTCTTGTTGGAGCTCACATGGTTTGATTCTAGGATTGGAAGCTCAAGAATAACCGGAGCATGGTGATTGAGCTCAAATCCTGTAGCCAGGTGATTATGTGAGCCTGTTTGGTTCTCAAATTTGGAATCGAAAGACATTTCGGGTTTGTGGATAGTTGTGTTGGCAGAGTTTTGAGGCTTACCTTGTGAAGCTCGTGCCATAGCCATGGCGAGAGAAAAAGAGCAGCGACGCGAGTCGCCAATTTGGATGCTTGCCGATGAGAATTTGCAAGACGTGCTGGCTCGGCTCCCGGATCGCGTGGATCGTCAGTCGTGGTGCCTGGTGTGCAAGAAATTTCTATCTGTGGAAGCCGCGGGTAGGAAGTATGTGCATTTGATGCGTCCTGAGATTTTAGAACCCGTATTGCGACGATACCCTCAAATTGAGTGTCTGGACTTGTCGTCGTGCGTGGAGGTTACGGATCAGTGCCTGGCGGCCGTCGCCAAGTTCACAAGCTCCCGGCTCATTTCCATCAAGGCCATTAGAACGAAGGGGTTCACTATTGCCGGGTTTAGAAGCCTCGTAGAATGCCGTTTTCTGCAAGATGTGGATGTGACGTTTTGTACCCAAGTTGGAGATGCGGAGGTGATTGCCCTCAGCGAGCTCAGGCATCTGCAGAAGCTAAAGTTGGATTCTTGCAGGGATGTTACAGACTCTGGATTATCATCGTTGAGTAGATGCAAAGGGCTTAGAATTTTGGGGTTAAAGTATTGTTCAGGACTTGGAGATTTCGGCATCCAGAATGTTGCTATCGGTTGCCAGCGGCTTTACATTATTGACCTTTCATTCACTGAGGTAATCTGTTTCTTTAGGTATCTCCTGTTCCTTTTTTAAGTAAAAAAGACAATATCATTTTGAGAAAAAGCAGGATTTTAGCAAGAACATATTCAAGTTTTAGTTGAGTGTGATCCTCTAGACTGGTATGACATACTATACTGACACTGGTTTTTGGTTCTTAAGTAGGTTTCAGACAAAGGGCTAGCGTCCCTTGCCCTTTTGAAGCATCTCGAATGTCTCTCTTTAATATCATGCATCAATGTGACTGACAAGGGCCTAAGTTGTCTCAGGAATGGATGCAAATCGTTACAGGTGCAGAACTCCATTCATTTGCAAATTGTTCTGTATCGTTTGGTGTCTAATATCGGTTCCATGGAATATCGGTCAGAGATGAACTATTTTGTTTCCCACGGGGAAACAAGGTATGAAAAGGATTCAATGCATTTCCCTCATGTCCTGACGTTTATAACGCTTCATTAATGCATCACTTGGTTCTTGGATCTGGTGATACTGAGTTGGAGTGGTATGCTTATTCTGCCCATCTGTTTCTTGTTGCAGAAGTTGAACGTGGCGAAATGCCTGAATGTGAGTAGCCAGGGAATTATTGAATTGACGGGTAGCTCAGTGCAACTTCAGGAGCTCAATCTATCCTACTGCAAGCTGGTACGTAGTTGTCTGTTTCGTAGCGTAATTAACTACTGGCATCGGCATTGGAAAATATGAAAACTCGGAATTAACCAGTATTTTTTGTGGTGCTACAGATAAGCAACGTGCTGTTCGCTAGTTTTCAGAAACTGAAGACACTGCAGGTGGTCAAGCTGGATGGTTGTGTTATAGGTGATTCCAATTTGAGTTTAATTGGCAGTGGATGTATAGAGTTGAAAGAGTTAAGTTTGAGCAAGTGCCAGGGTGTGACTGACGCCGGCGTTGTAGGCGTTGTGACCTCCTGCACTGGCCTGCAAAAGCTAGATCTTACGTGTTGCCGGGACATCACGGATACAGCTTTGAAAGCTGTTGCAACAAGTTGCACCGGCCTGTTGAGTTTGAGAATGGAAAATTGTCTTTTAGTGACAGCCGAGGGTTTGATTATGATTGGGAAAAGTTGTGTTTATCTGGAGGAGCTTGACCTGACAGACTGCAATTTGAATGACAATGGTGAGAGCCTGATCTGTCGTGAAAGTTTTTCTATTTGTTCTAGTCTAATATGTGTACTTCTGGCATGACTTCATTCATAGTAGATAATGGAGTTACGCAACGTATGTACTTATAATGTGCCATCCTAGGAAATTGTATAACCGAGGACCGCTTTACTTAGATTTGGCTATTTAACTTCTTCTCTTGTTTGATGTGGTTAGTAATTATTGAAAATAATATTCAAATTTCGATTTCGTTACTTATGTATTGAGAATTTTTGGATCCGTTGTCTGATGGCGATCGAAATTGGTCGCTTGTGTGGCAGGTTTGAAGTCGATTGGTAGATGCAGAGGATTGAGGCTCTTGAAAGTTGGGTATTGTATGGACATCACATATGCTGGACTTGCCAGCATTGGTGCCACTTGCACGAATCTCCGGGAATTGGATTGTTACAGGTTTGTCTTACACGTTGGGAGGGACTTATAATAGAACAGTAGATCTTTGTATTAGTAATGAATCACTTGAGGATACTAGATGCCTGAAACCATCTTCTTTCTCCTGTGTTAGTGTGTTGTCTTATCTCTTTCAAAATCGTGATTCCTCTGACATGGACTATGCGGCAGCTTTTGCAATATATATATATATATATATATATGTGTGTGTGTGTGTGTGTGTGTGTACTTCATATACAAGATTTTAAGATTCACTGAAGGTTCCTGTGTATTTTTATGTGGATCATTTTCAGGTCAGTGGGGATCAGCGATGAAGGAGTTGCAGCAATTGCCAGCGGCTGCAAGCGTTTGAAGGTGGTGAACTTATCTTACTGTTCATCCATTACAGACGCAAGCTTGCACTCACTGGCGCTGCTAAGTGACCTCGTGCAGCTCGAATTACGTGCTTGTAGCCAGATAACCTCGGCAGGAATCTCCTACATTGGTGCATCCTGCAAGCACCTCCGGGAGTTGGACGTCAAACGCTGCAAATTTGTGGGCGATCATGGCGTGTTGGCTCTTTCACGAGGATGTCGAAACCTGCGGCAGGTATCGCTCGCTCACACTGAAGTGTTTCAGCCTATTTTCATTCGTAACTTACTCAGCCTTCTTCCTAAACGTTTATTAAGTGCTGTTTTGTTGGATGGTCTCGCCTTGCAGGTCAACCTATCATACACCGCCGTGACCGATGCTGGCATGATGGCAATTGCAAATATGTCGTGCATCCAGGACATGAAACTAGTTCATGTGAACGTGACAAGTAGCTGCTTCGCTAGAGCTCTCTTGGCATGTGGCAGCCTGAAGAAGGTGAAGCTGCTCACTGGGTTGCGTATTGCGTTACCTTCTGGGGTGATCAGGCAACTTGAGAATCGTGGAACCAGGTTGCGCTGGATGGAGAAGGCTCCTTAAGAAACTTGTGTGGATTTCAAACCACTTTAAAAAAAATGAATCCAAATGTGTGCTTCAGTGCTCGTTGGACTATGTTTTCTGGAGCATCTAGGGGCGGGCAGCTAATGTACTTTTTCAACAATTCTGTCAGCCTTGTGATGGCCTGAGCTTAGTAACGAGAAGGCAATCTATAGCCTCGCATTGTCGCTGCTGGTGAAGAATTACCCACCTGCTTGCAGGTTTGGCTTTTGGTCCTACTGAAATGACTGGAATGTGGGTATATTCTGAATATGAAGGTGCGCCGTTGCTCAATTTTGAGCTCACATTGTGAGCATTCTGGAAGAGGTGGAGTTGGATTAACATTCAAAGTTAACATAGGTTAGATGAAGTTAGATTACGAAGGTTTCAGTTCAGCTTCCAAAATTTTATTAGCTTGTTCTATTATAGTAAAGATTGATTTATTGACACATTCTCTACATGGAAAAACATCTTTTTAAAATGTAGGACGTAAAGAAATGAGCATGATTTAATATTTTGAATATTTTGTTGGATTAAAATAGCATCAGTGATTATTTATGTTATTTACATTGCTTCTACAAGTACAAAAGTTGGTAGAAGACAATTATGTAATTTTGAGATTCTAAAAAGTACAAAAGTAGAATCACAAAAGTTTGGTAGGAAAAAGATGTATATATAATATATCTAAAAAGTATATTCAGTTATACAATATTGATTGAGGTAAATAAATGTCAAGTAGCCAATGTTGTGAAGAAATTGCATGTTATAACTACATAGGTACATGAGTAATATTCAAGCTTAAGATAATATATCAAAATTGGTTCATTACTTTTTTCTTTCTACAAAAAATTCAAATTAATTCATAAGGACTTTAAATACCTTTTTCAAGCATTTGTGTTTAATTTAATGTAACTTTTTTGTGTGTATTTCCTTTGCAATAGGTATAATTTGAAATATATGTATATATATATGTATATATATATATATATATATATATATGTTGAGATAGGAGTAAATTTAGTTAAAATCTCTTTGGACATTAGTTGTTATATCATTATTATAAATAGCTAATAATTGAATTAAATAATAAAAAAATTGTGTCTTTATAAGTTTTTTTATTTATACTAGTGCCCTTGTATCTTCAAAACTTACATACATACTCTAATCAATGTGTAGATCAACCACCACTTGGGTAGCAATATAAAATTGACTAAAGCTAAACCTACAAATAATCCATCATCTAGAAATTCAATACAAGGACTTGCAACTAAAATTGACTCTCCAACAAAACTTCAAGCTCAAATTAAGATTGTTTCTAGCAACCATCATATCAATCCTATCAATAAGCTACCTTTGATAACAATAATTATGCATGTCTGTATTTGCATTGCTAAGCTCAAGCCATTTATAGAACCTATAGTGAGTGAATAAACTATCAATTTATCAAGCTCTTGAGATGACAAGGGGAGTTCATAATTTGAAGTGTAACTTAAATTGCACTAACAGATATACAAGTACAAAAACCCAACATACAAAGGTCAAGCAACATAAACCAACAACAAAAGACTACAAAAGAAATAAACCAAAAATAACCAATGAAGTAGCTACAACTACCTTAATCTTCATATAGAGTAATGTCATGAAACAATATAAGAATATTACATATATAAGAAGAGGATACAAAGATGATATAAAAAAAATCATAATCACTTAGAAGTGGAATATGTAAAGTAGTAAAAGAGAAGAATTCAATTATTTTTAACTAAGATGCTTTATTAAAAATATAATGACATGGAGTGGGAGTGAGGCTAAAAACTTAGAAAGCCTAGAATACATACTTTATGTTGGTGTTATGGTGATGATAATTGATTAGTGAGTATTATATACAATACTAGATTATTAAGTCTATTAGTAAGATAGTGACCAAATTCATCATGAAAAGGCATATGTGGTCTTTTATAATTATGCCATATATATATATATATATATATATATATATATGAAAGTTGCAACATTACAATTGAATCCTCTATTATGGCTCTATATGCTAAGATTGAGGAGATGATACAAAACTTTCTATTATATCAAGCCACTTGTATGATTTTTATATAAAAGGTTGAGAATTTTTAACTCATGTATTTCTTCTTTTCTTTCTAAAGGAAGTTATGGAAAATAAAAATATTTGAGATTTTATTATTATTATTATTATTATTATTATTATTTTATAATGATGTGTATATTTTTCTATAGTAAGTCTTTGAGCATACATTATATATCTTACTTATGGAATGATTTGTACTTTCATTCAAATGGTAAGTTTATTTATTATTTATTATAATATTAAAATTTGGTATAATAAAAAGACTTTAATAGATTAAAGTTTAATGCATTATGATATATTTATTTATTTGAATCTTAGACAATGGTCTCAAAGATCACTTCCAATTGCTCTTGAGATTTACTCAAAAGACCTTATGTCTATATATCCAATTTTGGTCTATAATACTCACCTTCAAAAGGCTCTCATTATATTCTATAGTATGATTAAAGGACCAACAATGTTGTCATTTGGTAAGAAATTGATTTCAACTTACAAAGCTATTTGCCATGTTAGACATCAACTATATAATGTTATAAGCTTCACATAAAATTCTTATAGACATCTTATACATGATGTAGTAAAATACAAAGGTAAAATATCTTGAATGTATCTCAAATTAGATTAGATACTTTAGATAAAATGCTTGAGAAGGATGTAAAAGGTAAAAATTTAAACATTAGCAATACTAGTAGTTTTTACTTTACACATCTTTTGTACATTGCTATGGTTGATTTTATTGGAATGCTCACTTTGTAAAGTAGTACGAAAGCAATTGGACCCAATACAAGAATATTTTTACATCTCTTTTAATTCTTATGAATATTAGTCTTTTTTATGTTTTTTATGTTTTTTATGTTTTTTTTTTTTTTTAATTTCCTATATCATGATTACTTCATTTATTGACAACAAATATGTGTATTATAGCCAAAAGATATTTGTGGAAGCTACTTTCAAGTTGTGTGGTGTTTTACCTTAGTGCCACTTTACTCTTGGTTAACTTCTAATTTCTATTGTCTTATAAGTTTGAAATAAAAAATAAATAAAAAATAGAAAAATAAATGAATTTTCAATTCAAATCATATTTGAAAATAGCAACATATTTAAGGTGGCAATTAAGTATAATGAAATCACAAAAAACTAAAAAATACAAGTTATTAAATTTGATTACAAATGATATACTTTGAATTGTGCTCTTGCAATAAGGAATGGTTGCAAGTGGCACCTTTATGCTTCACAATTTTAAGACAGCAAAGCCTTTTGCATTAAATTCAATAAGATAACATATATGTGTGTAGAAACACAATACTTGAAAACTAAATACGCAAATAGTGTTTAGGTGGCATTAATGGTTGAAGCAAAACTTTAGGACATTTCAACATATTGTCTGATAGAGCTTGTTAAAAATATTTGTTATAAATACAGTCTTTATTTTATCTTACATGAAAGTATAGAAAGATTGTGAAAAAATATGAAATGACCTCTAACAATCATTTAAGGATGAATATCAACTATTTTCTTAATTTTATGAAGAAGTCATTTGGTGTAATCTTAGAAGATTAACTAAAGTTGGATAGAATAATGGCCACTTTTATTGCATTTTTGTAGCACTTAATACTAGCTTACAAGGTTTTGCACATTATTGCTTTATTATTGGTATTAATAGTATACATCTTAAAGGTAAGTATTTTAAAATCTTTCTATTAGAAATCAATATTGATATAAATGGTGGATCAGTTCTTGTTGCTTTTGTAATTACAAATGCAAAAATTGATATCAATTGGATGTAATTCTTGCAAAACTTATGCACTGTCATTAAACAATATACTCAATAAAAATATATTTTTTCTTTTTGACGACCAAAAAGAATTAATTAAAAGTATCAATATACACTTTTTACATACACATCACATCTTTTGCATGCACCATCTTGTGGAAATTTTTTGCAAAGCATTCTACAACCTTAAGTTTATAAATCTCTTACAAAAAGCACTATTAATTATAACAATCATGGAATTTGATTAATATATGATTTTTTTAAATTTTTAAATTTTTTTTAGAGTAATAGAAAAATGGCTATGAGATAGTGAAGATTAGCATATTTGGGTACTAGCAAAATTTTTAAGATGCCACTATAATCACTTAATTTCTGATATTGCAAAATTACTTAATGCAATATTTTTTGAAGTACATGAATTACCAATTACGCAACTATTTTAATAATTTTATAAATATTTAATAAAATGATATACCAATTGACAAGTAGTAGATAATTTGAATGTAGAGATTTTTATAGTAAAATTTGTCCTTTAAATCAAAAGAATGTAGCAGTGTACACATCAATATTATATGAGGGCTATCAATGATGCAAATTTTAAGTGTCTTTTTTTTGAGACATAACCTATATTATTAATATTCAACATTAAACTTATTATTAATATTCAACATTAAATTGCAAATAATACAACATTAAAATTATTAGTTGCAAGTCCTTACTATGTTAAATTTTTAGATGATTGACTCTTTCTAGGTTCAATTCTAGTCAATTGCAAATTCCTATTGAGGTGGTGGTTGTTCTTTATACTAATAATAGAATTTGTGTAATTTTTGAGGATTCAAAGATATTGGTGTAAATAAAAAATATTATAGTTAAGTTTTTCTAAATAATAGATTCTAAATAGTAGATTTTAAATTTAAGAAATTTTAAGAACACTTAATCTTTGTATTTTTTAACTTAAACATTTTAAAGGATTGTTCATATTCATTTGCAATACAACCCAAGACTTTTATAAATCTTTTATAGTACATCAAAAATATATCAATAAAAAAAACAAAAAAAACAAAAAAATTGTGGTACAAACTTATTTGAAAAGTAAACAAATGCTTTTGTCCAACCAACCAGGATGGGAGGTAGCTGCCATTCAAACCCAGCTTTGCCTATAAATATTTTGGTGATGAAATATATCAATACATGTCTTTGAAATTATGGAAGATCTTCTCTTATATACATTTTTATGGATATTTTTTATTTTAATTATTTTATACTAGACTTATTTATTTCATGCACAAATCACATCACCGCAAAAAAAATTGTGCTAGTTCATTCTATTTTTTGTTCTTAATTTTGAAATATTTCTTTATTTAATTATATTTTTAGTTTAAATTACATCTTAACCTAAACTCAGAAAAATATGTACTTCAAATTCTACTATTTAAAGTAGCTTAAGTTTACAATAGGAATAATGTGAATTATTTGTTAATAGAATGATAATAAAATAAGCATATATATATATATATATATATATATATATATTTCTTTATTATTATTATTATTATTATTTATTATTTTTATACAGACTAAAAGACAATACTATGGTTGCATACACAGAAAAAAATATATGAATAAAATAAAATATTTATGCTTA